ATTTGTAATAATTGGGTCGGACTTAGAACTGTAGCCGAGGAAAATCCAACAAGCCCAATGCGAGGAGGAGGGTGGGTAAGAGAATTGCCTCACCCAGTGCCCACTAGAAGAGGCCATTGGGAACACTGGATGGCAGAAAACACTAGAGTTTGCTACAGATTTGTACGACTATAGACATGTTAATGTTATTGAAGACAGCAGGGGAGGGTTTATGGCCTTGTCAGAGGCGTCAACTGTTAGTAGGCCAGAGGAGTAAAGCTGGGTGCCAGTGGCTTACGTATACAACCCCACCTACTCAGTAAGCTGAGATCTGGAGGATCATGATTTGAGGCTAGCCCAAGCAGAACAATTTGCTAGACTCCAAATAAGCAGCAAGAGGCAGGGCTGGAGGCCTGGTGTAAGAGGTAGAAGACCACCCCAAACAAGTAAGAAGCCCCGAGTTTAAACTCCAGGACCACCAAAGAGGAAGAGGAGAGGGAGAGCAAGAGGAGAACAGGAAACAGTGGTGGCGGGTGACACCTTGCAGTTTTAAGTAGATTGGTTTAAAAATGTCTCACATTCACAAGATGTTTGAAGGGTTGGATCTTTGTTAGGCCATCTGCCTAGCATTCAAGCCCTGGGTTTGCCTCTTAGCAATACAGACACACACACATACACACTCACACACAGACGCCCTGAGGATGTAAGGGAGACTACTATGCTACGCCTGCAGGAAGAACTGTCTTAACTGTGGGCACAGCCTAGGCAGGTTCTGAGTTAGAAACAATGAGGCAAGGAGGTCCTTGGGGGGGGGGGTCCTTGAAACACAGCAAGTGGTGGGAGAGGACCAGAGCTCTGGGGATCGCAGGTGCCGAGAGTGCTGTAATGATGCAGTCTGTTATAAAGACACTGGCCACCGCTGAGGGACATGGGAAGCTCTGGAGGAGTCCTGAGGCAAAGAAGGACAAGACCTGGCCGCATTTACAGTGGGCCACTGAGCACCTGTGCTGAGAATGGGCTGAGCGGCCAGAGGGGAAGGTCAGAAGTATGGAATCCTGGACAGAGCCATCCACCTGTTTCCCAAACCTCCATCTCAGAAAGGAGCAGGCCAGACTTCAGTGAGCGTCCTCAGGTTCTCTGTAGCTCTGTGGAATGGCGATGGCCTGCGGCTTTTTATAACAACAAATCTGTGTGAAGTACTCCAGTTACGAGTCCGATCTTGTCATGGGAGAAAAGACTTTTGCAGCTGTCTGTGAAGTTGATTCAGGGCCTATTTTGATTCCAAGACTCCCTCAGCAGAGCCTGCCCCTCTGAGCAGAGTGGGTTTGATGCTAGATCTCCAGCACAAAGAACCTTCTGGATGCACAAATCTGCTTTTTAAAGACCATTGTTACTATTAAAGAGTTTTGTAAGGTATTTAGGGCAAGCAAAACCAGTTTTATTTATAGCCCTTCCCTAGTACCTGGCAGAGTGCCTGGTATATTTATTGTGGAAAAAAATGGATGATATGCAAAAATATCAGCGAAGAACTTGTTCTGAATATAGCTATCATTGCATGAACCACTCCCTGCTCCATGCCTTAAGTGTCACCTGTCCATGCTCCTGGTATGTCTAGGTCCCCTCCTTGGGATACCGGATCTGGTTACCTACTGAGACCACTGCTTCCAGAGATGGTGGTCAGGTCTCAGGCCTCGCGTCTCTTGCTGTCAGCAGTATTTGATGTGAGCGATTGCTCTCTGCTCCTGGATATATAGTTGCTTTGATTGACTTCGGGTCACCACTCTTGTAAGTTTTCCTTTTACTTCATCTCCTTTGATGGATACTTCTTATGTTGCCATTCCTAAACATTTATGTGCTCTCTGGCTTGATCCTTAGTTCATCTGTCCACATTCAAAGTCAAGGTGATCTCATATATAATTTACTTAAATACACTGAAGTACTCATGTTGATGCTTCCAGCCCTAATTTCTCATCTGAACTTTAGACATTTATATCCGTTTGCTACTTGACATTTCCTCTTTCATATCTAAAACATATTACAAATGGAAGTCTGACTCCCTTTCCTTCCCTTCCCTTTCTCCCCTCACTCCATTCTCTCTTTTTCCCCTTCCCTCTCTCTCTTTCTCCCCATCCATCCTCCCCTCTCATTTTCTGCTGGTATTGCGTTTTGAACTCAGGGTCTTATGTTCGCTTGGTTTGCTTTGCCTTGCTTGCTTAGCTGGTGCTGTACCACTTGAGCCGTAATTCTTGGAAGTGGAGTCTTGTAGATTTTTTCTGCCTGTTTTGGCCTTAAACTGCTAGGATTACAGCTGTGAGACACTGGTACCCAGATTATTATACAGTTTCTTGTATTAAAACATTTGGCTTTGTCCTTGGCTGCTTCCTTTCTCCAGCATCCTATATTTAATCCAATAGTAAATATTACTGATTTTACCTCTGAAATGTAGTTACCATCTGCTACCTTCTCACACCATTTTCTGTCTGAATTATGGCAGTGTTTTATTGCCTGTTTTAATTCCTGTTTTATTGCCTCTGCTCTTGTATCACAACCATCTGTTATTTTTTCCCCCATTCATGGGGTTTGAAGTCAGGGCCTGGGCACTGTTTGTGAGCTTCTTTTGCTCAAGGCTAGTGCTTGAGCCAGAACGTTACTTCTGGCTTTTTCTGTTTATGTGGTACTGAGGAATTGAACCTAAGGCTTTGTGCATGTTTGGCATGCACTCTGTCACTAAGCCACATTCCCAGCCCACCATCTATCCTTAATGTAGTAGTCAGCTACCCTTTAAAAACTAAAGCCTTGTGATGTCCCTTCTGTGCTCAGTACTGCAAAGGCTTTGCTCCCATCTGCCTTCATCTCTGCTGCTTTCCTCTGGGTTTTATCTATTCCAGACACACTAGTCTTAAGCACTTCCAGCATGGTGGAGATTCCAGGCTTTAACACATTATGTTCCTAGGGTGTTTCTCACTTTGTCAGAATATCAAGATAAGAGTGCATGCTTTTACCTGCTCAGCTATTCTGATAAGGTGAAATGTGAAGACCTGAAGGAAGAGAGGAAAGCAAGTCATGCAGATGTTTATTCTGCTTTTCTTTCAATCAAAACAGTTTGGTTACTGACTAGATGTATGAAGATGTTGCAGAGTCATTATTTGCCTTTTAGTTATGATAATGGCTTTTTGATTCTCTCTTAGAACAAGTGGCCTGGATTTTTGTTACCAGCCATGAAGGTGTAACAAACTGAAGAAAGGAGATGACGAATGTTTTTTAGACATTGGAATTGGAGAACAGAATTATGATCTCTGAGTGAGGTAGGTCAGTGATAGCACTTGTTTTTTCTGTGCGTCAGCTGTGTTTGAGAGGGGTTTTGGAAGCAAGCAGGCAGCATCGAGTTGAAGAGGCAGATATTGTAGTTCAAGTGATTTGATATTAGGCGGCAGAACTCCAGAGAGAGAAAAGTAAACTCAAGTGATTGATCAAACCAACAAAGAGATAAAAAAAGAAATAAACAAAAGACTCTAGAAGGTTAAATAAGGGTCTGTCTGAATGTTTGCTGAAAACAAAAACTAGAATATGTAGAATGCATTTTCACAAACAACAGCGGGGGGAGGGGGTGCGGGGGGGGGGGGGAGAGCTGTAAGCAGAACAGTCACCAGCGCTCACTCAGGATGAGGAGTGAGTTGAGGTCTGACCATCCAGAGTTGAGAGTCCTTGATGAGCATCCAGGACGTTCAGTAGAGGCCTCAGACATGAGTTTCAGAAATGAGTTAATTGGAGATAAGAGTCTCAGGGACTCTCCTGTTCATGTTAGCTTTGAACTGCAATCCTCAGATCTCAGCCTCTTGAGCAGCTTGGATTACAGGCGTGAGCCATTGGCATCTAGCTAATGGTTTATTTCTTTCCACTTTCATAGGCTATATATCATTGACTTAACACAGACTGAGTATTAGTTACATTTCTTTCAAACTTTTGTACTTTGGTTGATTCAAGGCATAGACACTTGGACCACACATACTGTTTGACTCAGTGTTTTTGCGTGCAAACACATTGAAGATTATAGCAATATTGGATTTTTGTCAAGAAAGTAAAATTGAGGACAAATGTCATTAAGCCAACTCACTTAACTGGTCAAGTCTTGATATTGCACAGTTAAACTTTTTTCAATCTTTTGAAAACTCATTTTACGCAAGATATTTCTACCAGAAATGAACTTTTATGATGTAAAGCTTATAACTTATTAAGGCTTTGCTTATGTACCACAGCACTGGCACTTACTATAGCTTATTATAGCTTTGACAAGTTCTCACTTTTTCCTACTGAGACATATTTTTTAGCCAATCAGTTTTGAAGTTTTTGGTGTTAGAAAAAAAATCTGTAACATTTTTCTCTGTTCAGCTGTAGTCATTTTAGGCATTATTTTGTTTGTTTATTCCCACTAGTAACAGTTTTTATGAATTGTATAAAAGATAGCCCTTCTTAGCTAATCAATGGGGAAATTGGGGACAATTTTCCTTGGCAGATCTTGGCAGCAAAAAATATTACCACAAATAAATTTTACAGTCAGCATATTCATTTACACAGTTAATGAAGAAATGGTCCTCCTTAAATTTTAGACATATTTATTATCAAAATTCTACAGTATATCTATATCAAAATAAATCTTTTAAGTCATGCAGTTTTATACCACTTTTTTTTTTAAAAAGCAGAATTTGGTTTATTGAGCCCTCTAGGAAACTGGATTTAAGTGATCGAAATATATGTTCCCAAGCAAAATCACTTTCAGCATATGGATAATCAAAAATACTGAACACATTTTCCCTGAACACTTCCTTTCAGAATTGAGATTTTTGTTACAAATCTGTGCACCTTACACATCAACACATGAAGAGGTTGACTTTGGCTCACAGCTGTTTCCTCTCCGTTTGGCCTATGCAGAGAGCACTCACAAGGGGAGGGAGAGTGGAGACCTTTAATCACGTCCTATTATCATTAGAGGAGGGGAGTAAAGGCTGGAGCCCTTTGCTTACCTAAGACCCACTTCATGATGAGCATTTCTGTCCAGGAGAACTGCGTGGTTTTCACTCTGAAGATCTGCTTTGGGTAGTCCGTGAAGGTTTCATTGGGCAGGGTTTTAACACCTTCAAATCGGTCAGATGCGTTCACCACTAACAATCCCAGGAAGATAGTAAAGGAAACTGCATGGGCCACAAACTTCATGAAAGGACTCCTCAGGGTTCTTCCTAGCTGGAAATAAAATTTGTATAAGACCTGTTAAACGGGCAACCCTAGTGGGGTACAGATATCTCTATAATGTAACATCAAAGTTTGATTAGAGAAATGGCTGAATGAACCTATGCATTTTTTCTTACATTTACATGTAAGATTCTATCTGACTAAATCCTTTTGCTATCTGCTCCATTATCTTCCCTATTTAGACATCTTAGGGAGAGACACTGAAAGTAAGGAATAGAACGCACAGACATAATCATCTAACATCCTGTTATATAGATACCCCTAAAAATGTAGATAGGATTTTAAGTCCTTGAACTCTGAGTAGAATTTACAACAAAAAGGTCTACTTCAGAGGTGCTCCATTGTTGTTGAAAGCCATTTCCTTAGGCTTTCTGCATAGCTTATTTCTTTTCAACTTTTCTAATATCTTGATAAATTTACTTAAAGCTGTACATTTCCTGCTAGATAGCTGCTTAGCTGTGTTCACATAAAGTTTGACATGAAGTTTGATACTCAGTTATGCATATTTTATAGTTTCTTTTTTGGTTTCATTTTCAATTCTTTTTTTTCCTTCTAGACAGATAGGCCTTTTTTATGCTTTGAACAATTCTAGGCTGAGGCAAGAGGATCCCAGGAGTTCTGGGGCAGCCTGGCTTCTATGGATGTGGGTTTGAGAGCTCTCTGGTCTGCGCAGCGAGACCCATCACGAGGGGGGGATTTTTATTACAGTAGAATGTTTATAGGAAACAAGATTCATGGTACTACTCTAAAATTTGTTTGAAGTTTTCCTTATGGCCTAATGTCAATTTGCATAGCTTCCCCCAAAGTCTGAAATGGTTCTCTCAGAGAGCAAGAGCTGCTCACATCTCCTGAATCCTCTGGGATCCACCCAGAGGCCACTGAGATCTCGGAGGACTGAGTGATGGGTTGCACGCAGAGGCCCTGCTGAAACAGTTCTTAAAACACTTAGGTCTCTTCCAAATCACTGTCATCACCCTCACCTAAGCACCGTACCTCAGCCCTCACCCAGGTAAACTCAGACAAGAACAAATGTTTTCCGAAGCTCAGTTCCTTCTCTTGGGCAGATACTCAATTGTAACCGGTGGCTTGATTTATTGAGTTTGCATTCTGCCTCATTCAGGAGTCCTACAGTGAAATGTCACGGGGGAATAGAGTATTGGTGCAACAGAGGATCAATTACAAGGACTTCTCTAGGTAAAATCTCCCTGATTATGACTGTGCTCAACATAACATTTGTAAGTCAGATGATTTGATAATGTTCCTTTAATGTACTTCAGTATGATAATCATCTACTTTAATTCTAATTATTAGTATAACATGATTTATTATGAATCTTCAGCCATAGGGGTACATCATTTGAAAATTTTTTGAAGATGTTGGCTTTTAATCTTTTTTTAAAAATTTAAATGACTTATTTTGGCAGGATTGAGGTTTTTTTTTTTTTTTTTGTCGGTCGTGGGGCTTGAACTCTGGGCCTGGGCGTTATCCCTCAGCTCTTCAGCTCAAGGCGAGCGCTCTATCACTTGAGCTACAGCGCCACTTCTGGTTTTCTGGTGGTTTATTGGAGATAGGAGTCTCATGGTCTCTCCTGCCCGGGCTGGCTTTGAACCGCGATCCTCAGATCTCAGCCTCCTGAGTAGCTAGGATTACAGGTGTGAGCCACCAGCGCCCGGCAGGATTGAGGTTTTAAACTCAGGGCTTTATACTAGTTAGGCTGTATGCTCTACCACTTGAGCCATGCCACCCGCTCTTTTTGCCTTAGTTTATTTTTCAGATATGTTCTGATTTTATCTGGGATTTTATCTGGGACTACATGTGTGTGCCACCATGCCTAGGTTTTTTTGGTAGTGTCTTGCTAACGTTTTGCCTTGGCTGACCTCAAACTGCAATCCTCCCAACTCTGCCTCTCATGCAGGTGATTATTTTTTTATTTTAAAATCTGTATCCCAGGTCTGGACAGTAGGAATGCCTGACTGTATTGGAAGTCATCTGCATTCACATGCAGACATACCCCGAGGAATAACTTTGTAAATGTAGATAGATGTTTATCTGATAACCACGTACCCACAAATATCTTACAAACAACATTATTATACTTGTAGTGTTTAACATAGATGAACTGTATTTATGGACTGTAGGCATATGTGCTAATTATGGAGTACATATATATGTATAAGGATAAATATAGTATGTAAGGTCAGTAACAACTGAATTAAAGCCATTTCTTGTTTTGATTTATATGACATCAAACAGCTAGTTTGATTTCATTTTTAGTTGTTTTGTTAGTGATGTTGGTTTAATTGGAGTCCCGTTTTCCCACTAAGACCTGGGAATATTTTGGTGTGTCCAGGAGATGACATCCTTCAATAGTCATTGCACTGTTTCTTGTCTCTTTGTCTATTGTGTCCAGATTTTTTCATTTCACTTTTGATGAAAGACAAGAGAATGACTCTGGGGACGTTGAGGGCAGGGCAAGGGATACCAGATTTTGTGTGTGTGTGTGTGAGTGTGTGAGTGTGTGTGTGTGTGTGTGTGTGTGTGTGTGTGTGTGTGTGTCCCAGCATGTGTGGGTATGAATGTCCCAGCAGGTTCCTGGGAATGTCAGAAAAAGCTGGCATGCAGCTCTTCAATGATGGTGGGTCGATTTCCTCCAGCCTGCAGGCTCTGCAGGCTCTGCAGGCTCTGCAGGCTCTGGGTCGAGTCCTCAAGGACTGCCCTGATGAAGACACAGGTCTTCCCTCCATCCTCTTCGATACTTTTTAAAACTTTGCCACCTTCTCCAGAAGATGAATCCGTAACAATGATTATATTTACTGTCAAATGTCATAATAAGGGAAACCCTCTGATAATACCCTCTGGTGATTTGGAAGTTACCTCCGGGTCAGTTCCCACACATCTAGGCCACTGGGTGGGGAAGGAAGATTAGGATGCACTTTTTTGTTCTCCTGGGCTTGAATTCATCTTTTTAATTGGTAAAACTTTGATAAAGGTCAGAAGAGATCCAATCATATCACTGACTTTCTCTTTTCCCTTGCTTGCTTGCTTGCTTGCTTGCTTGCTCGCTCGCTCGCTCGCTCCCTCCCTCCCTCCCTCTCCCTCCCTTTCCTTCCCTCCCTCCCTTTCTTTCCCTCCCTCCCTCCCTCCCTCCTTCCCTTCTTCCCTCCCTCCCTCTCTTTCCTTCCCTCCCTCCCTTTCCTTCCCTCCCTCCTTCCTTCCTTCCTTCCTTTCCTTCCTTTCCTCTCTCTTTTTGAAATTCCCTACCTTACTTATAAATATAATTTTGAAGTAAATTGCCCTTGGGGAAAGCTTCCCACTTTAACAAGGTTACAAGATGAGTCAAAAGAAAGGGCAAAAGTCAACCAATATGTGCCAACAGCTCTTAACTTCAGAATCATCATAGCTAGGTCAGGCACCAGCTTTAGGCTTCACATGGACACTTAGCTCTTGTTAGGCCACAGCTCACTCCCCTGCAATGCAGAACATGTGCGTCTGACAACTGCTAATGCAGCTCTGTCATGGGTCTGACCTCAAGAGCTGAGAACTAGCATGCTCTGTGGGATGTAAGTCTCCAGCTTGTACTAAACTTCTTGGGTAGTCTTTTACTCTGAGACGTAGACGAGTGTGGGGGTAACTGAGTAGTGTCCATGAGTTAGCTCTAAACATTACATTCATAGATCCTCAGGGGTGGGCAGAAAAACCTCTGTGCTCCAGGATTAAGCCCTAGGCTCAAGAATGAACACTGCTGGGGAAACTGGTATCGCGTGGGACTCCACATCACAGTAAAGGAAGCCTACGGCTGTGGTTACGGGAGATGGAACAGAGTGTTTTTAGCACCTCTTTCTTGTCTTGTGCCACCAGCCTCCCTCAACCGACGATGCAACCCTCACTTTTTGGCAGAAGCTGATGGTTTCAACCATGGGCTCTGTTTACATGTTAGAAAGCTGAATGGAGGAAAACTTCAGAAGCATTCCAAAAAGAAAAATGCACTCTAAAAAAGGCCTTGTGGTTCCCAAGTGTTAGGAGAGATCCTGGTTTATTAGTGGCATATTCTTCAATATATCGCCCCCAAATTCTTACTGAAGTGGCTAGTCCGAGCTTAGGAATCTTCCCTTTTTATGAAGGCGGCTGCCCATTAAGTATCTCAAATGAGGATATGTTCACATTACAATGGAAACTACCTGTATCCTGCAGGCTGAAGAGTGCTGAGTGACAGTGGATTTGCAAGGTGGGTTTCTAATGAAAGAAAAAGGAGGGGCTGAGTTTGCCATCCTTATGGAGATTGTGATTTCTCCTTTCTCGGAAAGTCCTGATAGCTCTAAAGCTCTGAATCAAGTCAGTCCCAAAGTTGGTTAGTCAGCAGCTAAGATGTATACAGTAGGCATTCAAGATTGTAATACTGCTGATGTAAGTAGAGGTGTGTGTGTGTGTGTGTGTGTGTGTGTGTGTGTGTGTGTACACATGTATGTGTAGTGAGTGACTACAGGGAAGATCTCTAGAGCCAAAGAGTCTGTTTTAATCACAACTCCAGTTTGTTGGTAAATTTATCCCTTAGTAGATCAGTTTTTTTCTGTAAAATTGAGGTGGGAATGTTGTCTCTTACATAGGGTTGATGTAAACAAAAAAAATCATGTACATTTATAAGGCAGAGCAGTGTACAGTGCATGGAAAGTCTTTAATGTGTGGCTTTATGCAGTCAGAGGATTCCCCTAAAGGGAAACAGAAGAGGCTTGACTCGAGAAGGGCATACATGCCAGCATTCACGAGGCAGCCCCACATGGAGTCCCACGTGTCCATGCCACAAATACATAGCTGGAAGTTACACATGACACCAGAAGTGGTGGAGATAAACTATGAGAGTCTGTTCTTTTCTTTAGAGTTGCTGAACTCCTGGTGTGGAGAAGCAGACAAAATCCGATGGCCAGAACTAAATGGAAAGGGAGGGAGTAATGTTGCAGGCTTCAGCCTGGGCTCAGTGTGCAAGTGACCAGGCTCTGGATTGGTATGAGCATGGATGCTCTATTCCCTCACACACGTTTCTCTTCCAGGACCATGATGCAGGACCATGACTTCGTGTAATGTGGTGTGGCTCTCAAGTAGAGGCAAACTGGGGGGAATTGGAGACCATTGGAGGCACTGACCTCTCCTGGTTGGCTTTTGCACTGTGTGGATTGAGGACTCCTGTTTCAAACAGGATGCTTGCTAAGGCAAGGCCCAGAGCTTCCAAAGCTGTTCCTCACTCATGCCTCGCTCACTAGGTGTTTGCGCTAGTACTGAGTATTGATTAATACTCCAATGTTCTTCCAAGCAAGAGTTAGGTGGCAGTAAGGACTGATGGACTGTACACTGCACAGTGTTGTTTACCAGTCTCCCTGCCTGATTTCTGGAGCTAATTTTAGAGCTACCTAGCAGCAAAGGTTAATAGGCAGTGGAGGAAGAAACCTTTCATTTCACACTTTTATTAGAACGTGTGCAGTTCCTGAACATGGTACGAGGCTCACTTCTCCTCTAGTCTGCCCGCTGCCCAGACCCTGCCTGGACCCGTGGGGATGACTGTAAACACCTTCTATTCTGTATCAGCACAGAACAGTGAAGGATGGAAAACAGCCTGGTCACTGGAGCCCTTACACAAGGATAGAGAACTCTTTAGAAAAAGACTGATGTGCATCCAGGTTGTTAAGATAGCACCAGGTCTCCCAGCGGCCTGCCTGATCTCAACCAGATTGGTGATGACAATGAGACATGATGAACAAAATCTATCTTTCCCTCCCTCCCTCCCTCCCTCCCTCCCTCCCTTCATCCCTTCCTTTCCTTCTTCCTTCCTCTTTTCTTCTCTTTTCTTTCTTTTGCCGTGCCTAGACTTATAATCTGTACCCATCTGTGACTTGATTACCTACTGCAGCTCACATTTTAGTAAGCCACACTGCTGACACCCTTCCCTTTAACAATGGCATGTAACAGTCTTTCTGAGAGACCCTCCAGAACTTAAATAAAAATAGAATTGATAGCTTCGGAAATTTAGTAGGAAGTCAATAATGAGTTCATCTTGGCAGGCTAATCAAATAATTTCGGTGTGCCTAATAGTTCCTAAATTAGGACAGCAACTGTTAGGAAGTAAATGCATCATTAGGTTGGAAGCAGAAACCTCAACATTTGCTAGCCGCTGACGGACATTAGCCAGTTGGTGAAGTTCGGCAGTGACATTTTAAGAATACCTTCAGAAGAGACTATGTTGAGTTCTAATTTCTTCGATGGCGATACCATAATGTTATTAGAATCTGGAATCTCTGGAATGACATTGTATTTGTCATGATTTTCTAGAAATAGCTATAAAGGCAGTGACCTCATTGGTAGAAGGAATATCAGCCTATTAGCGGATCTCTCCGTGTGCCCCCTCCTGTGAGGGCATCAGGAGCCCTTAGAGAGGGCAACTTTGTCACACGGTGGATGGGACCTCTGTGCGATTCCCAGTAATATCTCTGCCAGCCTTGAAAACGATGAGAAGAAAAGCTAAAAATACCTTTTCTGTTTTATCTGTCCTTTAGCTGCCTCAAAGCAAGCTGGACAAGCTGTTTAATGAGGGAGTCTTTCCTCGTAATGAGCAGTGCCACCAAGAGTCTCTCAGGCCACAGACTAAGGCTGTGACTCTGCCACTGACATGTGCGCCCACTGCCCTGAGCTCTGACCTAGAATCTAGCGCATGCACAGAAGTGACAGGTGCCTGAATGATCCACCCATGTTTATTTTGAGTGCCATAGATCTTAGTTGTACTGGAAGATTTGGGTGTGCCAAATGTCAGTCAGATAAGTATCTAAATAGAGGAGAAGCAGCTCTGGGCAAGGCCCTCCTTTCCCACAATAATAATCTTCAGAAAAATTCCTGTAGGCCAGACATGTCTGTGTCATGTGATAGTATTAGCTCTTTGAATTTGCTGGGTCCAAAAATTATAGAATTCCTTCCTCCAAACCATATGACTTTGGGGGGTGGGGTCTGAGCACATGTGTATATTTTGCCAGGATTCTGCTCACAGTGATAACAACAGCAGCAACAAAATTAGCCAGCACCTGGTATACTTCTTTCTGAATCTTTCCTTCTGCCACCAGCCAGGAAAGAGGCAAATCAGTTTGGCTAGTCCCAGGTTTCTAGAAGCTGTCACAGTTAGCTTTATATCCAAAGATTGGCAGCATTTCTACAATGTTGCTAGTTTGTTTGTCCCTTTGTTTTTTAAATGATCAAACGGCATAGAATTAGTTTTGAGACTCAGTGTGTGTCAGGAAAGTATCTATTTTGGTCCTTGCAGGTCTGGGAGAAGGCAAGGATCAACTTCCATCACAGACCGGATGACTCTAGCATCAAAACAGATGCCTAAACCGAAAGACCTGCTCCAATCCAGCCCTAAGTCTTGGCTGGTTTATTTTCACTTTCTGAGTGTTTCAGCCCATGATAAAAGGCACAAAGTTGGCCTTGTCTGCATATATGTTATTTGGAGAATTTACCTGTAGAAAACCATGGCATGAGACTAACACTGTTAGCACAAGTAAGGTAGAATGCTGGTCAGTGTTAGGCCATTCACTTCAGTGCTATTCTGCAGAAGGTGTTTGAGGCCTGGCTTCACTCTGGGACCCTTCACCTACCCAGAGGTAGTCAGTTCACTGGCTACTTGCTAGGTGACCTCAGAAGAAGTCTTGGGCCCAGCATGTTGGCCTGCGTGCTCTATAAATGGATTTGACAGGAAGGTTAGCTCACCAGTGCCACATTTATTTGATGCATTATCTGATTAATTTTCCTGCTGAACTAATCTCCCTGTAGGCATATATATATATATGTATATACATATACATATATATATATATATATATATCTAGTTAAATGTTGATTATGCTTAATTCCTTTGAAAGTACATCATTAGGTGAATGTAGCTTTGGAACCTTTAAAGACAATCTTAAACCCATGAAGCATATTTCATCATTTCCATGCAGATTAGTCTTTTAGATAAGAACTCTTGCCTGGAGTAGGAGAGCTGGTACTTTGTGCGGCTTTGGCTCAGATGGCTAGCCTGTGCGATGGTGGCGCAGGCAAAAGGATGGTTTGGTACCTGCAGATTCTGTTCCTCCTGCCACCAGCCCTCAGCTGACACTCTTTCTGGGGTTAAAAACTCAATCTGGCCCTTCTGAGCTCTTCTTTTGCCTTCTGCCCTGTTGTAGCCCAATGAATTGCCTGAGTGGGCCACAGGAAGGCTTTGTGAATGAGGACAGCATTGCCTTGGGGCTGCAGTGGCCAGCATGAGCTGCATGTGGTTCTCAGCCTAGTAATTCTTCCTCATTTCTGAACCTCCTTGGCAGAGCATGCAAGGTAACATGTAACTGAGGGAGCAGAACTCTCTGATTAGGATTTAGTGAAGAGAAGGTACTGAGAGTGTGGGCTGTTGCTATGCTGTGATTGTAGTGAGTGCGCGGTGGTTTGGAGGGCGTGGTTAGTATATGTGTGAGTAGAGGAGCAAAAGTGCCCTTATTCCTCTCAGTTCTGTATTAACTCATTCAGGGTATGCCTCACATGTTTAAAGCTTCCCATTTTGTCACTCTTCTCTCTTTTCAAAGATGGGGATTAAAAAGCAGGTCTTAACGCTTTTCTTCTTACGTGGTTTTCTACTTTGGCTAAGTGCGTTGTCTCAGAACTATTTTCCCTTCCACCTTTGCCTGCCTGCCCTCTCTCCCTCCCTCCTGTCCTCCCTCCCTCCCTCCCTCGCCTTCCTCCTTCTCTCCCTTCCTCCTTTCCTTTCTTCCCTTCTTTCTTTTTGGGTGGTACTTGGGATGGAACGGAGGGTCTTGTGTATACTAACCAAGAGCTCTCACTGGGCCACTTCCCCAGCTCAGGACTGTATTATCCCTACAAAGTGGGGAAATCTCTACAGCTCATTTGAACAAAATGGACTTCAGGTTCTGTTAAGAAAAGAGAAGAAATAACTATGAATGCCATGCACCTTAAGCAGTCTGTACCTTGCTGCACGGAGCAATCCAATAGGCTATGGCGAGAAAAGGAAGGCCTATGGAGACTCCAAAGACAGCCAGGAATTTCACAGCGATAGACTGTTGACGTAAGCCTGAGAGATTTTCATACCACATGGTAAGCAATTGCTGCTGACAGTTAGGATGAGCAACGAACTGTAGAAACAAAACAAAAACAAAATGCACAGGAAACGGCATCAATAGCACTTGAACAATATCCAACTTAAGAGTAACTTGAGGTTGGCAGGTCTCACTAGGGGGTGGTGATCCGCATGTTGGCCCTATAGTCCTGGGGCGGGTTTCTACAGGAATGGGGTAGGGGAATTGGTGGGGGAACTCTTGGGGGCTGTGTGGGAGCTGTGTGCAATGGCCAGAGCCCTCTCAGGACTTGGGCTTTTACAAACTGAGGGCCTGAAGAAGTCTTAGGCATGTGCGTGTGCGCATGCACGCACGCACACACACAAGTTTTGAGTAAATGCTTATCTCTAATAAGCATTTACTAGTCATCTGATCATCTCTGGCAGAATTCATTTGGGAAGCAATATGGAGGAATGAATGAGCTATTAATCAGGTTTTTGGAGTCAGAATTTGACTCTACCGTTTATTGGCTAGGCCAACTATTGTAACCTCTCTGAGCTCAACATTCCCATCTACAAAACCGAGTTTATCACATTGTCTTGGAGGATCAAATGAGCTATTCTAGAAAGGTTCCCCTCCATTTGCCTGGCATCTCTGGAGAACTCGTTAAAGCTGTTGTTCACTATTTTCTCACTGAATCTCCGGTGCTTTGCTTGGCACCGTGAGGTTTTGGTGACACGTTGGAGTGCTGACACACTGAATCCCTTTGCAGTCTCTCCTTCTGGGATATCATGTGCACTTCTCACCACCGCCTCTCTCTTGGAACTGCACTGCCCTTGTGTTTGAGTTAGATGTTGGAGTTCTTGTTACCATTTTATGGTATGTAGCCTCACCTCTGGATATAGTTTATTGAATGATCTAAACTAGGTCATCATGTTTTTATTTTGTCACTTGTAGGACTTGAACTCAGGGCTTGGTTGTGGTCCCTGAGCTTTTTTGTTCAAGGCTAGCACTCTACCATTTTGAAACACAATACCACTTCTGGTTTTCCAGTAGTTAATTGGAGCTCGGAGTCTCGCAAACTTTCCTGCCCAGTCTGGCTTTGAATTGCAATCCTCAGATCTCAGCCTCCTGAGTAGGTAGGATTACAGGTGTGAGCCAGTGCCCAGCTAGTCATCATATTTTGTCTTCTGGGTACTTAGGACTATGATGAGAGAATTAGTCTACTTGGTAGGCAGTTACTATGAGATTTGAGCATCTCTTGTCTACTTAGCAAAACGAGCCAGGTTGCGAGACACAAAGGGGAATGGAGATGTGCAGAAAGAGGCTGAGCTGGGGTTTGGCCTTCTCTGGGGCCCAGCTCCACTCTGCTCAGTGAGTCCATGAGACATCCCATCATAGACAAACTCTTCCTTTTTCTGCTGGATTAGCACCATTGGTTTGAGCTGCTTAAAACGAAAGACATTCCTTTCTGCAAATGGTTGTTTTGTAGACCCATTTGGCTGTTTATTTCATTGTGCCTGCATCCTAAATGGTGGAGACTGGTAATAGCCATTATTTAAAGTTTATATTGCAGAAAATGATACACATTAGCTTATTGTTTCTCCGGTGACAACAAGAAGGCATCATTTGCCTTCGGCAGGCCTGTCCTTGGCCCTTAATCAGGATACCCAGGAGCACAAGGTCATGACCATGGCTGGCACCTGTAGACTAAGAGAAGATGACCAAGCATGCTTCAAGGGGCCTGGCTTTCCCACCGATAACTCTGAAACATCATGTACCCATTTTCATCTCATTTGCCTCATTGGGTCTTAAGGGATCATATACATTGATTGCTGGGAAATATGAAGCATTCCTCTTTCATAATAAGAACAATATAAATAGAACTATCTTAAAATTCTCAGTGCATGTTCTTGCTTCCAGTTTCTTGGAACTCAGAGTAACAGCAAATGAGCTGCAAAGACACTAGCAAAGGTTTATTTGGCCCTAAAGTCTCCGATGATACTGTGAAACCAATATTAAATGCAAATGAGGCTTTCCTGTAGCATTGGGGTCTTTCAGGAATTAAGCAGGAAGTGAGGTGCCTGTGGCTCATGCCTGTAATCCTAGCTACTTAGAAGGCTGAGATCGTAGGATCACGGTTCAAAGCCAGCCCGGGCAGGAAAGTCCGTGGGACTCTGATCTCCAATAAAACACCAGGAAACCAGAAATGGTGCTGTGGCTCAAGTGGTAGAGCGCTCACCTTGAGCTGAAGAGCTGAGGGACAGTGCCCAGGCCAGAGTTCAAGCCCCATGACTGATTAAGAAAAAAAGAGAGTGAGAGAGAAAAAAGAATTAAGCAGGAAACAACGAGGGAGGAATCCCCAGGCCTGCAGGGTTTATGATATTCTAGACCCTTTCTGACTCAAAACAAAGAGAGGCAAGCAAGAGAATGTTTCAAGTGACTCTCCAGGTCTGTTCATAAGCAAGACCCCGAGTGGAATGGTGGGTAAGCATAGAGCTCAGTATAGATTTCTGTATGTGCTGAAATGGCTCTGCCCAGAGGCCCACGGCTGATTAAAAGGTGGGCACATGCCCATGAAATACTAGGAGGTGAGCTTGCCGCGCCCCAGAGCTGGCTGGAAGGCTCTCGGCAGAGTTGCCGTTAGGACTTTCATTGTCTGTTTCTGGCACACATGTTGCCCCATGCTTGCCTTGCTGGCTCTTTAGAGGCAAGTCCGCACAGCAGATTGGCCAGCAGGGAGCGCGGGGGACAGAGACCCTGAGAGAGAACACAGTGAGACCATTCCAACCTTCCTTTGCTTGCTTGAAAGAGACACAGTGGTCCCAACTAAAGAGAAAAAGTCTCCTGAGATTCCCTTCCCTTGATTAGATCTTTCACAGCTGTGCCCCCTCCCCCATAGTAAAGCAAGCTAGCTTCAAACATGCTGTTTATTTCTAGGTAAACTTTTGATATTATGCTATACCAGAAAGCTGCCAGCCACTGATAGTTAACACTCAAATTAATATTTGCCTTTTAGATGGGCACTTGTGGTAGCTTGTGGAAGACATCTTTGTGATGTAGAGTATAGTATCAAGGAGTCCCATTCCCACCCCCCCTTCCCTGCCCAGGTGATTTTTGAAGCACAGAAAAATACCATCCCTGATCCAAGGCAGATGAGAGTAGCAAATGAAGTATGCCCATGGACACAGGAGAAAACCCTAACCTACAGGGCATGGAGCAAGGGAACAAAGACAGGAAGAGCTCAGGACAAGAGGAGGCCTCTCCAAAGCAAGGTCAGAGAGGAGCCCACAGAAGAAAACCCACAGCTGGAATAGAACGGTGAAGTTTGTCTTTGGTATGTAACTCACCAAAGGACGGAATCATCTGTGGATGAATATGAGGAGCTTTGCCCAAGCTATTCCTGTCCCATGCCTAGACCTTGGCATATGTTTAGGATTATTGCAGGGAAGAATTGATGTGACTGCTTTGGTTTTCACAGTGACATTATTCGCACACTTTAAAGTAGAGTGTTTGTGATGGGCTGGGGTGAGACTGGTGAGGTAGGGTTACACGGGGCCAAGTGGCCTTGAAAGAGAAGACACCTCAGGGAGTAGATCCTGCAGTGGGATCTGCTCACTGAGTGCATGACGTTCAGCTGCAGGGAGAGAGAGAGGGAAGCACTCAGAGACAAAATTCTGAGTGATGGAAAGGAGACTGGGGGATTAGCTAGCCTGGGAACCAGCACCTGAAAGGTCAAGCGAGCCAGAAGTCATGCAGATGCTGCTTCCTGAACCCATTGCGGGCTGCTTACCTTCGTAGCCCACTTACACCAGTCTTGATGTTAATGCAGCATTTGTATGCAGAGCCAGTTTCTGCTAATGTCATACTTAAACTATGCTCCCAGGCACCGGTGGCATGCTTAGAATGCAGCTTTACATGGGACTCGTGGGCTGCTCACGCTTTTCTTTTTTCTATATGTTTTATATTGTAAAAATACAGAGGGGCTACAGTCACACAAGCAAGGTAATGAGTCCATTTCCTATTGAGCATCGTTACCTCCTCCTTTGTTTTTCCCCTACCATCCCTTCCCTCCCCGCCTCCCCAGCTCCTCCCTCCCCCCTACCCTGTTTTCAACATAGTGTCTTGTATATCTCATTGTTACAATGGGCCAGCCTTCCTCACTATTTTCTCTGCCTTACATTCACCCATAAGGAAACACCAGATGCTTAAAAAAATGTAATTGCTAACTATTGGGCTGGCTTATGGATCAGTTATCTCAACAGCATATAGACCTTTCCGGTGGTGGGTGTTTAAGTACATGGACGGCTACAAGGCAGGCCTGGGTTCAAATCCTGGCCCTACCTTCTGCTGGCTGGATTCTGGCAGGGGGTCCTCACTCTTTCCATGCTTGGCTTTCCTCTTCTACAAAGTGAGGCTACTAATGAGGATTGGATGACCTAGTGTTTGTAAAGTGCTCAGAATAGTACCTGGCAAATAGTACTGTACTAATATTAGATAAGTAAAACAAGTCGGTGACTATCCTTTATGGACCATTTTTTTCCTTCCTCCCTCCCTCCCTTGTTTCTCCCTCATTTCTCCCCGCTCCCTTGCCCCTCCCCCCCCACCCCCAAATCTGTCCTCATCCTGACGTCCATGTTTCAGCAGGCAGCTCTTGACATGTTGGTGCCTTTGCGCAAGTCCATGTCACCAGGCAGGCGAGGCCACTCCTTCTCTGCCCCATTTCTCCATCCTCCACTGATGGCGAAGCCCAATTTCTCCAGGCTATTCTTTTCTGGGGCAGTCAGGGCTATGTCAGAGCCACTCATCAAACACACTGATTCTGGCCCTGCGCTGATTAGGGACCCCTTGGTCAGTGAGAACTGAGAACTGGTGCAGGGTACGGGCTCTTCTCCCTCCCGCAGGGGCTCTCCCTCCCTTCCCCTGCCTTAGGAGTGGTTGCGTTTTGCACGTTGCTCTTTTTGGGAGAGGGGAAAAGGACTGCCTTTGAGGCTGTATGATTTCCACATCCCCGGATGGATTTTTCTCTCTGATACTAGGCCTCATTTATGAGATGTGGCAACGCACGATTTGATAAG